TGGTATCGTTTATTAGTTCATAGAGGCAGAATCCTCAGGACCTAATCACCATAAAACAAAACAAAACAAAACAAAGCAGAACAAAACTAACTTTTATAATGTGTGTGCATGCTCACACAGGAGTGCCGAGGTGCACATGCTGAGACCAGCGGGCAGCTTTCAGAAGTTGGTTCTCTCCTCCACCATGGAGTCCCAGGGATGAAGTTTGGGTTTTCAGAATTGGTGACAGTCGCATTAGTCCACCAAGCCATCTCATTGACTACAAATACGTATCCCAAACTGACCTCCAATGCATAGTCCTCCTGCCTCTGTCTCTTCAGTGTGCACCACCATGGCCAGCCTAATCACCCTTTATGGAGGCCTGACTCCTGAAACTTGAATTGAGGATTAAGTTTCCAATATATTTAAATGCAATCAAACCACAGTGTCCCTCCTGGAACAATTGAGCAGAAGCAGCCTCTTGGCCCTTCTGGTCTCTGAGCCCTCGCTTCCTCCCCTGTGCCTTCAACAGCAGAGTGGATTTCTAGAAGCCCCATCTGGTTATGGCATTCCTCAGCGGAAACCTGTTTAACAGCCCTGCATCATGTCTCCTAAAGCCCCAGGTCCTCCATACGGCCCCAGGAGCCTGCTGTGTCTCGTCCCTGTGTCCTCCTGCCTCATTTATTTTGCAAATAACAAGTGACTATGTTTAGTAAATTTTAGTTTTAATCTTCCTCACTTTAAGAACCCTGGGAGGATACTGGCTGTATTTACACAACCCAGCTCCAGGAGGACCTGGTGTTCATACCGCCCAGTGGTCCAGGTGGCCTAGAAAGAGCTCACTTGTCCGCCCAGTATGACCCCTGCCATTGCAGGCCAAGTGGGGATGAGCTGTCAGGATAATTTTATTGAGGTCTAAATAAGAAAATGATGTTAGGCCCCCATGACTCAGATCAAAAGTGCTCATTTTAACCATGTGCTTCTTCTCCAATTCCTGGAAGCTGTTAAAAACCCACTTCAGATGCCAAGATTGTAGCCCACTTGGGTTTAAGTATTTTGGAAACATGTCGGTGGAAATGAAAACAAACTTTTTGTTGTTGTTGTTGTTTGTTTGTTTGTTTTTTGAGACAGGGTTTCTCTGTAGCCTTGGCGCCTGTCCTGGAACTAACTAGCTCTCGTAGACCAGGCTGGCCTCGAACTCACAGAGATCCACCTGCCTCCCAAATGCTGGGATTAAAGGTATGACCCACCACTGCCTGACTGAAGATGAACTTTTTGCCCAAATCTGACAGGCCTTTGGAGACAATCACGTGAAGGGGTGTTAGTAGTTCAAGGTCCTATCTTCAGAGACCCACCCAAGCATAGACAGCAGGCAATCAGGAACCTAGAGGGCCCCATCTCCACTGGGGCAGGGGAGCACTATGCCAGTGGCCGCTCGCTGGAATAAATCAGTTGTGCTGGGAGGATGGTTCTAAGTGACCAGTTTCAGGAGAGCAGGAACGCTCCTGCGGTAATGAACCTGGGACTTGGGTGCCCAAACGCCGATGCCTGCAGAAAGCAGGGCCCCAGTCTGGAATCGGGAAGTGGACCAGATCCCAATCATGGCGGGCCAAGTTGACTCACCAGAGAGCTCCGGGAAGGACTGTGAGTCGCCAGGTGTGAGAGGCCTGGTGAGGGCCGCATCCACGAACTACCAACTGACTGTTGATTAAGTCTAAGCAGCAGAGCCCAAGATGTAGCGATGGTTGAGCCCGAGAGCAAGGGTGAAGCTACCTGTGAGTCACAGCTGCTGCGGGGTTTGGGGACAGCACCGTACCTTCCCCGGCTCTGGGGACAGCCCTGTACTTTCTCTGGACTTCCGCTTTGCTCTCCTCCTGCCCTGGCTGTGATATCTGTACCACCTCTCTTCAGTCTGCCTTCCCCCACTGTAAGTAACCTCTGCAGTCTGAGGCACCGGGCCAGCACTCAGAGTAACTGGGAATTAAGTGGGATCCAATTGCACGTAGCCGCTTGGCAGCACGGGCCTTGGTGTGTGCAGCGCTGGCTAACGCAGCTCCTCGTCTCTCCTACATCATCCACCAGATTTCTCTTCCTTCATGAGTAGTAAAAGGTAGAAACTGCTGTTTCCTTGTGCTCACTGGGAACAGCCTGGGCCCATCAAGAAACGGAGGACAATGCCTTGAACCTCTAATCTCCATTCCCCTGACATCTCAGGGTTCAGCCCCCTTAACAAAACCCAACAGTTTCTTCTCCCTTTCTATCTTAACATCAGTGGGAAAACTTGATCTGGTTGCCGTGGAGATGTCACTGACTTCAGAGAGGCTGTTGATGAAAGATGAAAGCAACGTATGCCTGGCTGAACTGAGCAGCTGTCAGGGAGTCCTGACAGGCTGTGAGGAAAGGAAGCCACTAATTTCAAGCGGTGATCACTCAGAGAAAGGAGCCGGGCTCCTCTTCTGAGCAGAGCCTGGCAGCATAGCTAAGGTCTGCCCCAGGTGAACATTTCTTGTTCAGGTTTCTCGTTTGGTTATTTCATGAACATTATAGTTAGCGGTACTTCTTTCTCCTTTCATTTCCTTCTGAAAAATATAGCCTTTCAGTGATGTGCGAGGTTAATTAGGCTTTGTGGGCAGCCCCAGGAAACCCAAAGCCTCTTATGATGTCATCTCCTTTGGAAAATGTATTCGGGATTGCAAGCCACCAAATTACAAATGAGACTTTTCTGTTTATTCATCAACAGCTGCCACCAGTGCACAAGAGGAAAGCAGTGACGCTGAACTACACTGAGTGCTTGTGTGTGTGTGCGTGTGTGTGCGTGCATGTGTGTGCATGTGTGCGTGCATGTGTGTGTGTGTGCGCGCGCACACGTGTGTGCATGTGGGTGTCTGGAAAAGTGGAAGAAAAGCAGCCACTTTCCAAAGGGCACATCAGTTAGAAGGGAGATATCATGACTTCCATGATCTTCAGAAAATGGATCCATTCAATTTTTAAAATTATTATTATTACTACTATTATTACTTTCAGTTATTCAATGGAAAATTTTGAGAGAAAAATTGAATTCTGGGATTTTAAATTTTGATTTTATAAGTTTTTTTGTTTGTTCATTTTTCTAAAACTGGCTAAGCCAACTGGGTATTGACAGTACATTTTCCACACTGCAGGGTATTTACAGAACTCTTTCCCTGGGAGATGGAGGCAAGCATCTACTCCCTTATAGATCACCAAGGACAAACCCAGAGTACTAATCCACCCAAGCAATGGTCCAGCGAAAGTATCAATCCACGCAAATGGTGGTCCAGGGTGGGGCCAAAGAGTTTATTCCTCTTATTTGCAGAGCACGGTTGAGGGGTTGCTTTCAGGAGGAGGGAACCCCGAAGCAGCTGTCTCCCCAGCACAGATAACAGCTTCTCCATAGCGGCAGAGGTGGAACATAGATGCGTTTGCCTTCCTCGGTTAGTTTTTGGGTAGCACCCCTCCAGATCATGATGCGCCATGCTGCTACGAGGACAGACAACAGAAACTGTCTTGGAGGTCTAGGAGGGGAGAAGTGACCAGCCTCTCAGGTGTGGGTCCAGTGACCCTCCCCATCATCTCCTCCCGTGAAGGAAGGTAGTCATAGCTGTCTGAGGAAGGTGGCAGCTGTCACACTGGGGGGATGACATTCTTCAACACAGGACTTTCACATCCAAGAACCAACTGGGGAGCCAAGTAGCCCAGGGCCAAGGTCGTAGCTGGTCCTCAGTCCCAGTCTTTTTTCCCCTCACAGTCCAGCCAAGTCTCTGCCACATTTCCCCTCGGCGGATCCTTCTCTTCCCTGCTCTTTTGTTCTTGATAGGGAATGTCAGTGTGAATTCCATAAAGAGTTCCGAACCTGAGTAGCTGAGTCAGTGTGAAGCAGACGTAGCCTGTGACTCTGGTTAGAGATGGCTCTGGCCGAGGCAGGTACGTGTTTCCAGTTTGCCTCTCTGCACTGATGGTATCCAGGGATTTGGTGCTGATCTGGGCAGGCGCTCCTTCTGCCTTTAGATGCTAGACACTGAGGGACAGATTGGGGAGTGCAGCTCAGGAACCAGGAGTAGGGGTGTCTGTGCTTCCAAGAGGTGCTGTGTCTAGAGCTCTGAGGCTCCAGGACAGAATACCTTGGAACTTTCCCCCATCACGTCTCCACCCTCACGCATGCGGTCCTCACCTTCCCCATACATGGACAAGTTCAACTTCTGTCGCCTGCCAAGGTCATGTCTTTCCTTCCTGTGTCACCCTCGGATCATTTTCCCCCCACAGGATAAGCAAGGAGGTGAGAACTCTGAAAAAGACACCTAACTCTGCTGTGGAACTCAGTTGTTGAGACTGAACTTCTGAGCTGAGGATATCAGGTGAGAGGAGGCAAGAGAAAACCATTCTCTGTGTTCCTGGCTGTCCTGGAATTCTCTGTGTAGACCAGATTGGCTTCACACTCAGAGAGCTACCTGTCTCTGCCTCCTAAATTCAAGGATTAGAGATGTTGTGGTTCCAGATCTGGCTAAGAGGAACCTTTTCATTAAATGGAATTTTCTTGCTAAATGGCTTGTTCTAAAATGGCTTGATTCCATGTTACAGACCTTTGAAATACTGGGAAAGGACTACAGGCTTTGGTGTGTTTCTTCCCAATACTGTCCATCTATTAACCATCTTGTAGGAGAAGCCAGCACACCAAGGCCCAAGCTTCCTAGCTGCACGTTACCAGGGACCTGGATGTCCTCAGGTCTGTGATACTGACACCATGCTTTGTACACTTACTAAATCAAGACTGTAGGAAGGCTTTAGCGCACAGTCTACAAGTGGATCACGTGATCAAAGAATACGTTTTCCCTCTCCAGCATCCCTTTATAAGAAGAAAGACATTAAGGGAACTGTGTGTGCTTGTCTGTGTTCTCCAGAAGACAGACTAACATCTAAAACCTGGAGCAAGCCCAGAAACACAATCTTTCCATCTATCTGGGTATCCACATCCTGGTCAAACTGACAAAGGAAACCATCAAAGATCATCTCTTCTTTGTTTATTAAGGCATCACTGCAGAAGCTCAGTCCAAGGTGTTCCGCTGGGGACAAGCAGGGCCAAGGAGCAGACATCACGCTGTCAGCGGAGCAGCATGGAGAAAACCATCACGTTGTCATTCTCCAAGACCAAGGAAGTCACAGTCGTCTAAGAAATTCATAGACATTCCATCTGAAAGAAATAAGTGTGGACTTCTACAGGCAATATCGTTCATCTCAGGAACCTCAATGTAAATTTACCAGCCTGCTCCTCTATGATTCCCACACACATCGCTGAGAGGGGTACGTAAGCCACCTTTCTGTCCCTATAACCAAATGCAGGAGAAAATCAACTTATAAAGTTGGTCCAGCTCATGGTTTTAAAGGTTCTGCTCCATAATGAAGAAGATCCACGTCTGGCAAGCCTTTGGTGAGGTTGCTGGAGGCATAGGTGGAGAGCCTGTATGAACAAACTCCTCCCACCATGGCAAGAGGTAAAAGAGAGGAGGTTGGGGCGTACCTCCATAGACCTAAGAATTCCTGTTAGGTCACACCTGACCTCACAATGGCGTTGCACATGGGTCTTTAGGGTATATTCAAATCCAGACTAAGCAAGGGGTGGGTAGACTCCCAGCACACGGGCAGGTGTTCTTGGCTATGTAGTAGAGAGAGTCTCAGATCCTCTTTTGAATTGGAGATATCACCTTCTGTTGTCTCAGCAGGATTCCAGGCAGCCATGATGTCATCCAGCATGTGATATCAGGCAGCTTCTCAAAGTCCCAAGTGGACTGTCTTATCGATCTGTGCTTAAGTCATACTGTTCAGGATGGGGATGTGGCTCAGTGGAAAGTCCTAGCTTAGCAGGTTTGAGACCCTGGGGTCAACCTCCAGTACATCCCCCACAATAATAACAACAACAACCCAGTGAAAACATTCCTATCCCTCTAATCTACACGGTAAGCAGAAGAAGACAAGATCTCCTGAGTAAATTGTTAGCGTGGGGATCATGGGAGAGGGTGGAAGGGGAGAGGGTAGGAAGGGAGGGGAACAGAGAAAAATATATAGCTCAATAAAAAAGAATGTTTCTGTTGTATATAATTTACATGACATGCCATCGCAATAAAAATTTCATTATGTACATATCATAGTCATAGTACTACACAGTAAAAATTAAAATTCTCTTTTGCAAAAAGAAAAAAGAAAAAATTCCTGTCCCATATCCCCCCCCCACAACTGCTGACAGAAGGCAATAAAATAGAAACAGTGTGAATTAGGGACAGTGATTTCACCTGTCTGAGAATGTCAAGTATTGCACACTTTCTCTTCCTCTGCTCTCTGCTAGGTTGCTGCTCACAGTCAGCCCTCCTGTTTACTGGTTCTCCGAGGGGATTTTAAAAACATGTTTGCTTTTATTATAACCTAAATCACATTCTCCGCGTGTCAGTTGCTGCATCTTCTGGAGGGATTATGTCAAGGGAAATTCAACACTCACTCTTCTCATTTACTCCTCGGTTTGCACACTCATCAAAAGATTAGAGCCATTTGATACTTCACGAGATTATTTCCCCCCTTAGGAGACACTGACAGGAGGAGTCACCTGGCCCCAGAGTCTGGTGACTGGGTTCTGTTCCTGTTTCAACTGTTGACTTAATAAACGCCCTTGGGCAAGGCACGGAACCTCTTCACGCTTTGGTCTCTGGGGATGAAATCTGCCAACTGCATTATGTGGTTTTAAACCTCATTGCCCTCTGGGTTAAAAATAGCAGAGGACCAGGTGTCCACATGGTCCCAAACTGATGTGAGGAGGATGACCACGGGATAGAAAAGATGTCCTTGAACTATGAATTATGTAATAAGGCCGTGGGACACAGTGGCCTTCAGGCATTTGGCCTGTGTGATAAATTCCAGCCCTTGAAATCTTCCCAACTAAACAAGGCCCCTGGCCCTGGTCCCACTTCTCTGTATTTCTCCTGCCATATTACTTGGCGCTGGTTGCTATTATTTGCTTTGTCACAAGGCTCTTGGATTGCAGACTTCTGGAGGGAGACCATGCCAACCTTGGGCACAATTAGCAAGTGAGCATGAAGTGAGGTATCACACTCAAAATATTTGTGATATGGACAAGTGAAAGAATGTCACCAGTCTCCAGAGAACATCCATCCCTACATCCCTAGTGTCATCTACTCCAGGCCAGGATAAGCTGGGAGGTGAACCCATCTCCCCATGACACCTACCATCGTGTAGTGACAGCAGGCCTGGGGGTGTCTTCAGTGTCAGTCTGACTGGATTTAGACTCCCCTAGTAACATGCCGCTCAGTGTATCCAAGCGGGTGTTTCCAGAGGTTTAACTGACAAGGAATGGTTGTTCCTTGTCAAGGGAACATCCCAGACTAAAAGAAAAGGAAAGGGGGAGAAAGCTAACTGAGCACTGGAATCCATCTCTTTCTCTCATTCCTGACGGAAGACACAACATGAGAAACTGCCTCATGCACTGATGATGCGCTGATCGCCCTCACTAGAACGACTCTCACAGCCACACCCCTGCTGTGATGGCCTACCCCTCAAACTGGGTATCAAAGTAAAAGGTCATTTTCTTACTTTTCTCAGGCATTTCGTTATCACGATGAGAAAAGTAAGCAACATATGGTCTCAACCCAAATGTGTGTTTATTATGAAGGTCTTGTGGTGGTGTGAATGTAACTGGCCCCCATAAGCTCATAGGGAGTGGTACTATTAGGAGGCATGGCCTTGTTGGAGTAGGTGTGGCTTTGTTGGAGGAAGAGTGTCACTATGGGGTGGACTTTGAGGTCTCAAATATGCTCAAGTCACACCTAGTGTCTCAGACCACTTCTTGTTGGCTGTGGATCAAAGACGTAGAACTCTCAGCTCCTTTTCCAGCACCATGTCTGCCTGCACACTGTTTTGCTTCACGTCAGAATGATAATGGACTAAACCTCTGAAAGTGTAAGGCAGCCCTAGTTAAATTTTTCCTTTATAAGAGTTGCCATGGCCATAGTGTCTCTTCACAGCAATAGAAATCCTACGAAAGACAGGTCTTAACCCAAATGAATGTTTGTTCTCAGCGGGGAGATGAAAAGCATTGTTCATTTGGTTCTGGAAGGTGAGCAACATTCCGACTCTCTAACCTTTTAGGTGCTCTGGTCACGCTTTGTTGTCATTACTGTTTGAGGCAGGTTTCTCTATGCAGTCCTGGTTGTCCTAGTACTTGATATGAAGATCAGGTCACCCTCAAACTCACAGCGATCCCCCTGCCACTGTCTCCAATGCTAGGATCAATAGCTTATGCCATCACACCTGGCTAGCTCTGATCATTCTTTAAACAAAGGTTTTCTTTACAGATACAGAAGAACAGTCTTAAGATCAGATGTCAACATCACAACCAGAATTGTCTGGATTATGGCTGAATGTAAGACACATTTAGAGCCACAAGTCCGATGTTCTGACTAAGGACTGGCCCGAGTCTTACACCTACCTTACAAGGGTAAAGGCAGTCTAAGAAGAGGTGTAGCCAATCCATTTGCCATGAATATCATTCAACAGTTGATGCCCATTTCATACAACACAAATTTTGCCAAGAAGAATTCTTCTCTATCATTCATTTATCTAATTAGCCAAACTTCTGCTCTTGACTCTGGATGAAGATAGCCACAGCAGCAGGGACAACCACCTAAACAACTTTGACACAGGACTCAGAAGCAATGGAAGCAGACATCTACAAAGTCAGAGAGACTCACACAGTGCTGTTCTTTGTCACAGAAGGGAGACAGCCCCAGAAGGCCTTATGCTTCATGTCTTCCTGGGCTCCTGGAGCGGTTGGGTCTCTTGACCAGCTGGCTACCTGGTAGAGTGTAATTTGACTCTCTTGACTCTTGGGTTTCCTTATGACTCATTCTCTGTACAAATAATTTCAGACTCATAGGAAAGGCATCCAACAGACAAGAACATTTTGGTTTCACTGACCAAGGTCCCTCCCTTTGCTCCAAGTGTCCCTGCTAAATACCATGTCAAGGTCAGTTGGAGTCATTCACAAACATTTCTGCTCACCTGCTGTCTTCCCACCTTTTGGTTGTGGCCAAGGATGTCCTGCACTGCTGACTTACCCATACTGATCAGGTGCAGAAGCTTGTCGTGGGGGAGGCTATTGGCCTACTGATCCTGATTCTCTCTGTTGATGTCTATACTGTCCCTAGAATGTTCTCTCTCTCCTATTCATCCATTCAGTTCCCCACTGGCTTTAGTGGAAGAATCTGCCTAGCTCTAATTGCTCTGCCCTATAGTATATATTATATATAACATATATTAGACTATATGTAGTATATCAATAAAATTATATATAAAATTATATATATATACTCTGTTCCCACCCTATGGGATGCATATTCTCAGGTTCTTGGTATACCCATCATCTTTTTCCTGCCTGGCTGGCTTCCATGAAACCCCTTGGACACAGCACACAGCCTGCTGCTTGCTGACTTCTGTGGCCATATTATCCTCCTGACAACCCATGCAAGAGCAAGCCCTGCTAACAAGGGAGTCCCTTAACTTTTGGGGGTGGAGGTGGAGGCAGTACTGGAGATTGAACTAGGGCCTCATGCTAGACGAGTATCCATCAGCAAGCTACAACCCCAGCCCTAGCTCCCTTAACTCTAATGCTATTAGTCATGGATTCTTTTTCTCCCATCTTTGCTAGCAAGCTTGACCAGAGAATTTGAAACACAGTATTAAGTTCATATGCATCTCTGCATAGTAAGCAAGTTATTCTCATTTTCTGTCATTGCCAGAACCCTGTTAGGGGAAACCCGAAGGGACAGCTTTGGGTTACACTCTGCCCTGTGTGACCCTGCCCCTTGGGTTAACTCATAACCCAGCATGCTTAGAAGCAAAAACTGGACAATTCCCTTTCTCTCTGGGAAATTTCAACAGGGAGAAAACTATTTGATAGACAAGAACATCGATAGTTATGGTCACAGTAGGGCATGGCAAAGCCTTGAGGGATTTTTTAAAGTTTAAATTATTTCTTCCATTTTCCTGAACTTATGTCATGTCCCCCTTCCCTCCAAACCCTCCCATATATCCCCGTTCTTGATCTCGTTCAGATTCATGGCCTCTTTATTAATTGTCATTCCATATATACATATAGGAATATAACTCCTAACTGAATGTTAAATTTTGAAGCTTTGAATATATAGACACAATAAAGGAGAAAACAATTCCAGATCTAGAGTAAAGAGACACCAAGGAGACTGAGCTAGACCAGAGTTGAAAACCAATAGCCCAACTCTGTAGATTGCTTGGCGCCTGGTAGAAGCTGGTCCAG